GTGGGTAGATATATATATATATATATATATATATATATATAATGGAAAACCAACCCATGTGGGATATGGTGCTGGAAATGGCAAAAGATGCAACTCAGTGTGTTGAATCAAGTTATATGCTTTTTTTTTCCCTTTGGAGCGTCTTTCCCCATTTATATACGTTATACCCTCTGTGGCAGGAAAAAAATTTTTGCAAATTAGCTACATATATATATATATATATATATTTTTTTTTCTTCACAAACAAAATAAACTATATTATATATATGATTAAAGATTCGAATACTTATGTTATCTGAGAAAAAAACTCTATGATCATAGATTATTTGTGAGATGAATATTGAGTAAGATGGTATGTTAAAGATATTATACAAAAGGGTCTTTAGGCATAAACCCTAGTAATTAAACCCTATCCCTACCTCTCTTACACAAAGTGCTTCTGCATGTCATATTTGGTCTGTAGCATACAAAGCCATTATGTCTATAAAGATAAAAGGCAGTGACTTATACTAGAATATACTTGTTATTGATACATCAATATATGCATATGCAACTTTGTACAAGTTCTAGGAGTGTGCAGAGACAACAGTTAAGGTGATGTGGAAGAATGGAAATTGTGATGAATCGGACCGTTAGGTTTGCACTTCTACAACTTGGCCGGTTCTATTTTTTTGAATTTCACAAGTTTTGATTGGGGCATTAATTAGTTAATCCACCCATTGGCATGCCTATAACTTAAATTTAGAATCTCTTACTCTATTTTTTTAAAGAGGGATTACCACTAAATCACTTAGGTCATTGGTTAAATATTAAATAAAGTTATTATTAAACTATTTAGATCATTGGTTAATTTTAAATAAAGTTATGATTAATTTGTCATAGATTTTGCCTTTAGTGAAAGAAATTTTGAATGCAAGTTAATATTCATGTATAAATACTTGGGATCAAATGTACTACTGGTGACCAACAAACCAAACCATCCATAAGGTTTTTTATACTATAAAGTTAGGTAGGACAAACCGATCCGGTCTGTTTTTAGTTTGGGTATTAGTTTTATCCAAAATCAATCCCATAGAATCATACCTACCCTACTCAGATCTGTCTCTTGCAACATATACTCTTTGGAGACACATTGTGGTGTGTGTGAGAGAGAGACTAGATCAGATCAGACCAGACCAGTCAAAGATTTAGAGTTAGTAATGATTAAAGTGATGAGAAGATCTTTACTTACATGAAAATGATATTTTAGGCAAAGGAGAGGAAATTAAAGTAAGGAGAATAGCCCTGAAACCCCAAAAAACACAAAACAGTAAAGAAAAAGTGGGATTGGCATTGGATGGCAGGAAAATTAAGGGGGGAAAAACAAAAGGAGAAAAAGTATGAAAAAGAAAAAGTAAGATGTGCCAGGTAGATCTGTTCAGATGATGAGAGTGGGCCCATGGGCCCCCACAACTGTTGAATGATAAAAGTGGTTTTTTTTTTGCCCTTTGAGATAGAAGAGAAAAAAAAGATCAAAGCCACCCAAGTTATGGGCCCTTCCCTCTCCAACTCCAAATGTATGCCCATATGTTCCAATTCCATAATACGTGTCAGTTTCCTCAGAAAATTTCAGGTTTTCTTTCCGGGAAAATTTAAGCATCGGAATTCGGAATATGTTTAGCTAGCAAGGCAGACGCCAATTTGGACTTAGATCCTGCTTTGGTAAAGACTAGTTTTCTGGAGATATAGTTGAGAAGGGTTGAAAAACCTCCCCTTTTTAGTTATAAGACTTTTTTTTCTTTGCCAGTGATCCTGCTGCTTTCTTGGCAAATTACTGAGTATCTCAAGGCAAATGTCTTCTCAATTGATTTTAAAATTCATCACTTACATTTTGATATATTCAAAAAAATTATTTTTTTAATTATTAATTTTAAAATTTAAATTCTAAACTTCAAAATTAATCCTTAAAATTTTCAATTATAAGGCATTCACAACATCAACTAATTATTATTATTTATTTTAAGTTTTTAACCATGTATGCTTGTCTCTTGTCCTACCTAAATTGTTTGCAAGAGCGAACTAAGAGGCTCCTGATCTTTCTAGTGATACTAATTAATTTCAAAAAAATGGAGATGCTTGAACACAAAAAAGGTATGGTGAAAAGAAAGTTATTTCAAATTTGCCTTTTCTCGAAACTTCAATCACTAATCAAGATTGGAGATTAAGATTTATATAAGACGGCTATATGAAGTGATTAGAACATTGTCACGTCTTTGAGAGTTTGAGGTGGCTTACTTCTGTCCCATGTCAATTAAATTTAATATTAATACCAATCGTAATTAGTTTAATTTGACTGCATTAGTAAAAAAGAAGCTGGCCCCCATATCCGTAAAATCGTCGAGCTATCAAGGCATGTATTTTAATTAATATGAATCACATTAAGTTAGCCTGAACATCGTGGATCGTTAATTTGATTACAAGAAAATATTAAGAAATTGTCGTTAAAGATTTTTTTTTTTTTTTGACAAGGGTAATAGTTAGGAAGTTAGTATAAATTAGTTGTTAACAACTGGGAATTCGATCCCCAAACCGGGTGAACATTCCATCCCCTCAAATGAGACGCGTGACCATCAGACTGCTTTTTGATAGAGTTTACGACGGTAATAGAGTTCGAAACTCCGACTACCTCCCTCAAACACTTAAGGTTTAAGGTCGAATCATTAGGTCTAAAAACTCGGTTCATTGTCGTTAAAGATTGGTTCCGTAATTCAACTGTTGGAATGTACGTATGAATGAAGAACCATTGATCCAGATGAAGGCACATGGTGTAAGCCACCGTCATGGAAAAGTAGAACATAATGATTGTATTGTATGTTTTACTAAAAGTACGAATACATATTCTACCATATTTTAGTAGTCTGCAGGAATATTTCATGGCATCTTCCTTTTTTCTAAATTAATCATTACCGATCTTCATATCTGATCTCTTGTTCCAATGCTTCTTTATGTCCCTTAAATCACAATATTTTTAGTATTCAGTCTCTTTCCATGAATCTTAAAGCATGCTAATCCATGTGTTAGCGCGTAGCCTAGCTACTAGAATTCTCTAATACGTTTGCAATTTAAGGGTATGGGGAGTGCTAGGGGCACTCGCCTTCTGCACTGTCCGGCCAACACTTTCACTTTTATTGGGCCACGTTAGTCTGGTCGGTAAGAGGTTGCCTTCAAAGCCTTAAACAAGCTTACGTGGCCCAATGAAAGGGGAAGTGTTGGCCGGAGAGTGCAAGAGGCGAGTGCCCCTAGCACTGCTCTAAGGGTATAAATGATAGGGAGAGAGATTTCTTATTTACCTAAATTTAAATGTTAAGTTAAAATTTTAATTTGATTAAAAAAAAAACTCTATCTCCTTATTTTTGTTTTTCTTAAATTAAATATACTCTAAATTTTAAAAAATGATAAATACCACTACTACCTCTTACTATATATAATTGAAAAAAAATTTCATGTGGCAATTTTAAAACGACGCATGAATGTAAATATCATCATAGCAATATGGATGAGATTCTTAAACTGGTATATACAATTGGGAATTTGCTCATCTGCCTTATTTTTTACAAATTAAAAAAACAAATATCACTAAATTATATTGTTTTAGTAATTATTTATTAAAAAATCCCCTTGTACTTCGTTTTTTAATAAATATTACTTTTTGTTGTTCAAAAAAAATTTTATTAAAAAATTAAAATATTTTATTTTTAAAACATAAATTAGATTTGTTTTAATTTTTTTTAGTATTTAATTAAAATAATGTGATTTTAAAAAAAATTTAATTTTTTTAAAATAAAGCAAATAACACTAATCTCATATATAATTACAATTGGATGGTGCTAAGTTTGAAAAACAATGTAGCTTCTTCTTAATTGGATGCTATCGCTAGCCTAACTATATGTACTACATGTTCTTGTCGCGATGAGCAAAATAATAAGACCAGTGGTGGAGCCAAGGGGGTGCGAGGGGGTGCTCACCCCCCTGAAATTTGAAAATCTGGTAAATTAATATATGAAAAATTATTTAACCTCCTTTGAATATTGAAAATTTTAGTATTTTGCCCCCTCTAAAAAAAATTTCTGCCTCCGCCCTTGAATAAGACTCTATCTCATTAATAGAAACATCGTTGGAGCATATTATGTTAAACTCTCCCTCCTCTTATCTTATTGCTATTAAAAATATGTAACAATTATAATGGATAAATACCTTAGTTAATAAAAAAAAACTATATGTACCTTATATATATATAATAAGAGTACAAGAATGGGATTGCAAAATATATACAAAATTCAGAAAACAACATTAAAATAATGTGATTATACTATGATTAATTTGATAAATAAAATAATTATTTAAAAATACAAATAAAAAAAGAAGCCAAGCGGAGGGCCCCCTACCTCTAGTATTGCGGGTTTTGTCGTAGGGGATGGACTATGGACGGCTACATGGCCCACGCAGCCTTTTAAAGCCTCTGACATTTGTTAGTTTCTGAGCAGACAAAAGCAGGGAAGCTTCTTATCCTCCTTATGGGTTTTCACACAAGTCCACACTCATAGAATCTTCAAAAGCATAATCTTAATTATAATCCTTAATCCCTTACCTTAATTACAATCCCTATCCTAATCTTTCCTCACAAGCTGTCCACAAGAAATGTCAAATGTGTAATACTTGGACATGTCCAGGGGCTTTATGTTCTGTCCAAGATCCAAACAGTTGCCTATATAGTTCTATGTGGTACAAGTCAGTTTGATACATGTTCTGTTCTATTACATTGTAATACATTTCCCCATCTTTCATCTTTACATCTTTTCTCTCTCTAAAAATACCATCATGGCCCCCATGAGTCTCCCTCCTGGATTTCGTTTTCATCCAACTGATGAGGAGCTTGTTGCTTACTACCTCGATCGGAAAATCTCCGGTCGTACCATTGAGCTTGAAATCATCCCGGAGGTTGATCTGTACAAGTGCGAGCCTTGGGATTTACCAGGTATGTCTGTTACTTCTGAATTAAGGTTTTGAAATAAATTAGTAAAAATACCAACTCAGTTAAGCTATTAGTTAGCTGTCTGTGTTACAATTTCTAATGAATTTTTTATTGTTTAATTTCTTCTACAGATAAGTCTTTTTTACCGAGCAAGGACATGGAGTGGTACTTCTACAGTCCAAGGGACAAGAAGTACCCTAACGGGTCAAGGACTAACCGGGCCACGCAGGCTGGTTACTGGAAAGCTACCGGGAAAGACCGGCCGGTGCACTCTCAGAAGAGGGCAGTTGGGATGAAGAAGACGTTGGTTTATTACAAGGGTAGGGCTCCTCATGGCAGGAGAACTAACTGGGTCATGCATGAGTATCGCCTTATCGACTCTGTTTGCGGCACACCATCATCAAGTTTAAAGGTATGTGCAGTAGCTACTCACTTCCAGGGTTTAGATGAATTAACGAAAATTTTGAAGGTTTTGATTTGCTTTTACAAATTACTCAGGTAAGAACCCTAAAAGACAAAAGAAAAATTCATGCTTTTTTATGGTCATGCATTACTTTACGTTATTCTTCAATATATTTTATGGAATCATTGAGCAAGCATGCGTGGATTGGATGCACCTTCATGTATAGATTTTACTTTTTCTTTTGGAAAGAGAAGACAAATATCGAATTGATGATACTAAAGACTCTTTAATTTGGTTCAACACTTTAAGGTTTACTGAGCTAATATTAGTTCCTATTTTTCTTTTACCTCTTTGTAATATTACTTTGTAGATCTTTTAGTACAATTGTTTGATATGGTCCTTGTTAACATTAAGGATTGCGCTGCGTTCTATATGAGCTATATTCTGCTTTGGCTAATGAATGATATTTGCATGACAGGATTCTTATGCATTATGTCGTGTCTTCAAGAAACCAATACAAGTCCCGAAAGGGAAAGAAGAAAAAGTACCGGGGAATTCAAATGGTGTTAAGGATCATCACAAGGAAGTAGGGCTAGGGGATGATACGAGTGGTATTGAGATTTCTAGAGGGTTGGAAGCAGAAGATGACATTAATTTCAACATGAATGACTACTCAAAATTCCCCTCGGATACTTCCTCTTCAGATGTCACTCAAGGAACACCTAATGAAACCAACTTAGCAGATGATATCCAACTTAATCCATTCACATCTGATGAAGCAAATAGCTCAACTAACATGTATTCCCTTGGAGTGGACATGGATTTCTCTTCAAATCTAATTCAGGTATGCACTTACTAGATTTGATTAATTATTGAGTTTACTAATTAGTTATTGGTATGGGCCATACTTTGGGATTCATATAATTATAATCTTCTTTAGGGGTTAGGGCATCTTTTTTATAGGTTGAAGACATGATTATCTCCTTTGCCGTGGTTACATTTACAGCAATATTCTGTGCTTTATCAAATTACAAAGCTTCAAAATCACACACATAGAAATTGAAATGCAATTGGTGGAGCCCACAAATCAAAGCCTTTGATGAGTTTTTCTTTTTTGGCCAAGATGAGTTGGCTTTTTGATCTTAAAGTGACAAAAGTTACAAGTAATGAACTCAACCCCATCTCTTTTCCTAAAGCTACCTATATGTCTATGTCTATCACTCTCAAATATTTTGGCTTTTCTTCACCATCTCCCATAACTTCTTTTGACCTGACTGATCAAGTCTTGCGTCTTTATATCACCACTATTTTCCAAACATCTTTATCTCTCTTCCTGTGAGCCAATTAGCTGATAACTTAATTAAAATTAAAATTTTAAATTCAAATTTTGAGACGGATAGATCTTTTTTTTTTTTGCAAAAAGGGATCCAAACAAAAATATGTATATGAATACTTTTTCCTTACGTTGCTAGCTACTGTTATAAGTGATGAAATATTTTTGTCATTGTGTATGCAGGATATACATATGGGAAGCTATACTCAGTATCAATGTCCATATCCACCATTAGAACTAGAGGACTTCCCACAGATAAATATATCAGAGACAAAGGTGTCAAAACCAGAAACTATAGATGATTACATGATCTATGACAAGTATAGATCGGACTGCGTCAATGGCACGTTAGAAGAGATCTTCTCTTTATGTTCTTCCTCTCAAGATAACTGCATGCCATCACCACATACACTATACTAACTAATACAGAAATTGACTTCACCATGGTATACTTTTTTCAATCTTATTTTGATATTACATTCTTTTTTTCTTTGGGGGTGGGAAGAGGAGGGTGAGGGTGTAAAGGCAAAATGGGAATTATTTTGCCAATGATAAAATTATAAAAGGGTATTTGGATTATCGAGAATTATGGACAAGTCAAGGGGCAAACCATAATTCTTGACCTTTGTGTTTTCCTTTTGTTTTTCATTTTTTGTGGGGAATAGGGGAATTTAATTTCTTTCTTCGTTTTCTTTACTATTTTACATATTGTTGACTTGTTCACTGGTTAATTTTTGAAAAAGACACAGATAAATCACATTATATAGTTCAATTCCTTAGTTTCATTTCATCATATTTCATTAATTTGTGAATTTATAGTTGTTTCGTTTAGTTTCAAGCATTAGGTTCGACAATCAAACTATCAAGAGTAATTTAACAAAGGGAAAAATACTTTTTCGGTGAGCTTTATTAACTGGCTTTGATACATGAAATTGGCCTGAATTCTTCATAAAGCTTTTACTCTCATGGAATGATGGAGCTGGATTTCTTGGAAATGAAAACCTGTTAGTCCAAAAAGACCCTCTTTGCAATAGTTCATGTTTTATAGTGTTGCAAAATAAGAAACGGTTTCCATACTTTCGCTTCTTTTGCCAAAGTAGGGGCCAAAAAATTCCCCAGTGGCATAAGAATTTCTTCCTCATGCAACTGCAGCGTGATCTTCTCCAAGCTCAAGCCGACGATCACCCAAGACGTCGAGAATAGGCAGCCTTTCTGTACTCGGTCCAAGTGAATGGCCTGTATAGGCAAGCCTTTTCCTAGAATTAGGCCATTGACATTCTGGGCCTGCTCCAGTTGGTCTGGGCCCTGTGCCTCAAACTCACAAACCTCCCATTTGTCAGGACCTGAAATTAAAAAAGCATCAATACCAAAATTTTTCTTTGTAGAATAACAATTTTCTTTTTTGAAAAAGAAAATTCTTCGAGAGAAAGGCTGGGATACCATAAGTGGCAGCTTTCAATTCCACTAAACACCCCCTAAAACATAAGTTAAAGGATCAAGGATAATTAAGTTTAGAGACCATTTTAGCACCAACTAAACAAGTTAAGGAATTCCTAATCATTTAAATAATTTAGTAATAATTTTTTTAATAGAAATAAAATGTCATTTTTTTAAAAGAAAGGGAGATCCTTAAGCTGAGGATTAAATTAGACATTAAACCGGACGAAGAACTGGACAAAAGTTTGAAACACCTAATCACATAAGACAACATGTTAGCTTGCCATCCAAAGATGGTTAAAACTTACTGTAAAAGTTTGGAAAACAATTAAACAAGTGGGCCAATGCTACTGAGCGCTGATAACTGAAATGTGATGAGAGGGAAATTATGAGTGCTGCCTAATTTGTCAGATTCTCCCCTCTTCACTGCGACAGATAGACCGAAGGGTATAGATATATAAGGTGCAAAATGCAAATAGTTAAAGCCATATGACTTTCCTAGTCCCCACTTATAGGCACAATTATTTTGTGCTGGAAGCCCATCTAATCTCCACTTAGACATTAAACAAA